TATATATATATATATATATATAACAATTTGTGTAGCTTAAACCGTTCAGCAGATTTTGTCCAAAATTGATACTCCCCGATTGATTTAAATGAACTTGAACCCTCTGAGTTTGAAACCGATTTTTTTGTAGAATTTTAATGTTATTGGATTTTAATGAGGTCATACTTTCCGATCATCTAGTGCGTTGAAGTAAACTTAAAGTGATAACAGTCGAACACGTGTGACCTTCACAGTAACAAAAATCGCTGCGAGCTCTTCAGGAATTACCCCACTCAGTGGCAAATGCGTCATTAGATCGTAATTTTTCTCACATGTTTAGAACTGCAAATTGGCTCGTCCGCATAAAGACTGTCAGCAAGGTTTTTAATTGAAGTATTTTATCCTTTTACATAACAAGGATATTAATAAAATTTACATTTTCATTTATTTCTATTTACATCTGCAACGTTTAGATATCATTTGCTTTAGAGACTTCATCAGGCAATTATCAACACCGCTGTAATGAAACGGCAGATCATGGGCAACACTATGGAATAAAGTAAATTTTAAGAGATATGAATTTTAGTGACGTATCTTCGTATAAATTCACAGAAATATGAACGACTTTCACCAAAAAAATACGTTTTGCGCTTGATAGCTTTTTGCTTTTTCCCGAAATAGGCAAACTGCGCTTAACTGGTTTCTGAAATAAACAACTCAGTACCTTAAAAACCTATATTTTCCGATGCGAAGTGAGTGCTTTGAAATAGTAACTCTTCCTGACGAGTTCGCTAAGTGAAGTGCTTTGTACTCCTAACCCTTCCTGATGAGTTCTCAAAGTAAAGTGCCTCAAAGTCCTAACCCTTTCGGATGAGTTCGTAAGAAGTGAAAAGGAAATCTTTCTGATGAGTTCGCCAAGTGAAGTGCGTTTGTCGCCAACCCTTGCTTCGCTGCCAGCAAAGCGCAGCGCTTGCAGTTGCTCTGATCTGAGCTGGGGTGAACTGGCCTGAACTGAGCTGGGCTGAGCTAGACTAGGCTGGGCTGGGCTGGGCTGGGCTGGACTGGGC